TCTCTGCTGGCACAACTTAACGAATTGACTACTACAGCTTAGATATTTAAGAGCTTACTGAGATATGTAGAGGGAAATTTACATAGTAGATCTTCCATACTACGGACTTGTTTCCCGAGGCTAAGGGTCAGCCATTGTTTCAGTGTTCTAAATAGGTCGTCCAGGGTAAAATACTGAAAGATCGTGAGATTCAAGAGTAAGGGAGGCAGTTTTTCAAGAGGAAACCGACCGTCAATGGAACACTGTCGGACTAAAATAGGAATTATCACAATTTTTTTCCAAGATTACACTATCCAATCTTCATTTTTCTGGCGAAATCAGGCCGTTACGCTTCCATAGGGCCTCGGCGCTTGTATACGGAGTCCACGATGTTCCGGTCAGAGGTATTGTCGCCCAGACTAGTTGGTGAACATTGATAGCAATATAAGTGAAAGATGGTATAGCCTGAGTGGGATCCGGAAGCGTTGACGGATGACTCGGAATAGCAGGGATGAGTGCCTATTGCGGCACTTCTACCCCTCCTTCTGAGTACTTCGTTTTTCAATTTGTGAAAAGGCAGTTACACCAACAGTCAGTAAACAGGTATAAAGCACTCGAAAACGGTTATAGAGTTTTAAATTTGTTCATTTTTGCATATTGTAGTAAAATATCCATAAAATTCAATTAATTTGTTTTGATCAGAACCTTTTTGAAGCCATGACGTCGCTTTACACATAAATTCGCAGATGTGACCGAGGGACTGATTTGGATTTATAAACTAGTTTTGCTGATCATGACTTGCATCCGTCCCCTTGGTCCCTAAGGAAATACCTGTATCAAAAAGGAAATCCCTAGTTCTTCTTGTTAGGCTTAGGGATAGGAGGTTTGATGTTTTTGGGAGTGAGCCCATGATGGTAACAGCTGATACTTAATGCGCCTGTAAAAGGTCCAGGTGGTAGCGGTAGGATCTGATCGAGCAGTAGAGAGTGAGTAGTACACGCAGTGATCCTGGCATCAAGTTAACCCGCTAAAAGTAGAAGAAGTAGGAGCATCGAACACTTATTAGCCAGTAAGATCAGTTATTATCATTCATTATCAGTAACAATAAACAACATAAAGCGGTTGGTAATTTCTATTTCAAGTGACGCTCTGAATTGAATTTGCAAAGTATCGATGACCGATTTTTGTACTCTGAAAGAATGTGATCTAAATTAGCGTCAAGGTCGCCATGTCGCCGATGATTTCGTGCCCAGTCCATGCCGTCGCACGTCGGACAGCGTTCGCGTGCGATGATGTTGCAATCGTTGGTGGGTTCATAGCGCGACATGCATCGATCTGGTTCACTTAGTGCCGTCTCTAAGGTGACGTCGTCGTATATGGTAGGGGCTAAGCTGGTTCACCACATCGCCTGGTAGGGCTGGTAGGGTAGGATGGNAATTTCAATTTCAAGAAGGCCTGCCCAGAGAAGGGGCTTACGAGAGTTTACGAACGCAAATTGAACCCCAACTTGTGTTTTNTGTTTGGGTGGCGATGATGGCATGGGGGACGACGACGATACGGCCGACGTGTCACATGTTTCATGCGATCGACCTAGATTGAATTCGTCGTGTGTGTTGTTACTTCGTGGGGTCGTGTGACTGCCTACCATTCTTAAAGGCGGCGACGGTGAACTGACCGACCACCGAACATCGTCCGTCCGTCCGCCATCCATCCGTCCTCTTCCTTCACACACGACGACCATAGGACCTTATCGCTTCGTCACCGATCCTATCTCCTTCCCGACATTTTCTTTTTTCTTCTACGTGTCCCTATGTGGCGCGATAAGTTTTCGTCTTCTATCTGAATGTGTTTTTCTTTTTCGAACGTTGCGAGTCACCGACGTCCATTTAACCGTTGCGAATGCAAATTAATACTATCAAAATTAATTAGATTCAAATTTCAGTAAATAGCCAAATGTCCACGAACAATTCACGAAATCGACGGCGGCTTCAGATGGTATTCGAAGAACAGGAAAAAGCTGCTAAATTAGCTTCTACGGCCACAGGCTTTATCATGTAAGCCATCTTATCATTTTTCAATGAAACTTTACTCGTTGTAACACCAGTTTACCGCCACGGGAATACTGGTATGATGTATTCTGTACAGCAACCTTGCTCTTGTCATAGTGGGTTGGTTGTTTTTGATTAGACACACCTTAACAAATCATTCTAAAAACCTCTCACGTGTTCATTGTGTAAAGACGCATTCATATCTCCCCTNGGAGAAGTTGCCTGAAGCGTTCAGTGAATAACGCCTTCATAGGTTCCGTGTGCGGTTGGCAGGTACATGAAGGGGTGGTGCCTGTGAGGTGGGCGGGACTTTAAGCCTGTGAAAGGTCTTCTGGACGGTTAAGTAAGGACTTCTGGCGTTTTTTTCTTTGGTAACCGAGAATTACCAACTCCACTGAATTAGCTGTGAACCATTCCAATAATTCTGGATATTTCCTCCCAAACTACGTTCCACCGCTTCCCCAGGATGAGATGGTTCTTGCAGCTTTTCACTTTAAGTCAAATCAGCACGCTTTTCCTTTCGCATGACATTAAAGGAACTGGATTCTGGTCACAACATCAAGCTTTTTACAAGAATGGAATAGTTGAAGTGCTCAAATCAAGTAGAACCAAACACTCCTCGTTCACCCAAAGAAACTATTTAGCGAATTAGTAAAGCTTGTCACATTCACTGTTGCGAAAGATGGTTTTTCTTCGGAAGAGACTGTTGATGTCGCGAAATGAGTGACCCAAGTATCGTTCCCGTTAGGTACGATACCCAATTAGTCCGCTGAAAAAAATCAGCGCTCTTGTCAATGGGGCTACTGCAGCTCGACCGGGTTGATTTTATCAGTGAGATGGGTGGAAGATAAACTAAAAATGCGCTCTAATGGTAATTTACTGACCTATTTGTGCTGTTAGGTTTTAATCATACGTAAGTGCCATGGTTGTAAACTAACATCATGGGACGCTTTCACTTTTCATTTGGGGCAATTGCGAATTAAAATAAGTAATTATAATAATCAAAATAAAATTAAAAAATTTCAATGTTTGGCCAGCGTTACTCGCACCACATAAGGCTTACTCAACTCAATCAGTGCTGCTTAATTCCTGGTTAATTCAAGGGCCTTACTTTAGGATCAACCTCATTTGGCTTTCGAGGGTCTTGCTTCTAAATGTAAATGTAAAGTGCATAAACAATATTATATTTTTATTTTATTTTGCTGCTTTGCACGGCTCGAATCTCGTGAAGACCTGGGATTCGCAAAATCGATGATATTCACAAGTTCTCTGAAGTTAGTCGGGTATTATTCAAGTCACGCTGCATTCAGAGAAGTCATGGTTACCTGGAACGAAATCCAAAAAAAACTCCCGATGGCTGTGGGAAAATCTTTCTTTTCAATTCAATTAATTACTCATTACGGTCATGGCAATATCACTCGTATCTTTGTCTTTTCGGTGGCTTGGTGTGGCCAGCCTTTCTCCCTTCTTTCTACTTTTTTACCATCATTTGTAAGCGACGTGTAATGTTGATTTGTCAACTTCCAAATGTGAAGCCGATTGTTTGAGTGGTTATGCTGGGTACCGGTACTTTCAGAGAAAATCTACGCTCTCCATCCATTGTGTTCCTTGGCTTGCTTAGTTTTTTGTTCGCTGTAAATGTAAAATCACCGCAATGAATCGCTAGATTGAAGGCACAGTTCGCGATAACTTCATGTACTTTTACTGTTTTACGAGCAGATGTGTTGCTACGGAATAGTTCATCGGGAGAAGAGAACAGAAAATTTACGGTTTGAAAGGTCTTTCTTGGAGTGTATTGTGTACGTGTATTAGCTGTTAGCGTATATCGGCTGATTGCATTTACAACAAACGTGCTCCATTTCGAATGATGACAGCTCCTACAACACCGTTTACACTCGTCTTTTCTTCGAGACGTTGAGCTGCAGTGGGCAAATTGTTTTTGAGTTTCACACCCTAACTTACGCCGCTTTTCGCTAATCAATACTGAACTATGAGATACTAAGTTACGAATAATGATGAAGTTATAGTATGCTTTCGAGCACAGGGATTTTTGAATATTCGAAACCTCATCCAAGTAGCATCTCAGGTGGATACTGGCAACGCATTTTAATTTTGAAAGCGCACATGAGAAGGGCAGGCGGTTTTCGATAAAGAAGCGATCACAATCCGTCATGATAAAACAAAATAACGGATAATAACGTACCGTATTGCGGCTCGGTGTAGTCGGAGCGTAAGACTGCGGGGTCTTGTCACAACCACAATATTGACCTTGCCTGGTAGGCTAGGTAATCACCGATATTTCACGTTTTTCTCCTGGGAACACCTATAATTCTCGAACTCTTTGGGAAATTAGTAGGTAATATTGTTAATAAGTTGCTGTCACCCCAACAAGACACCTTACGTGACTGATCGTATTTTGTGACTCGATAGATAGGGGAGACGGGCGTTAGGAACGAATTTGGGTAATCGATTCGCCGCACGCGGCTGTCGCGGACCACTCATTCGCCGCTATTACAGCTCCAGCGTTCTTCATACAGCTCAATCGATATGCGATCATTATTTTATGCATAATTCTACTACTAGTGCTTTTGTTGTTGTATTTCTTACCTACTGCTGCATCCTGCTACATTCCTACGCGCGCGACGCCCCTCTCACCGCGACGTGACCATTTCGATCCTAACGCACCACACCCGATACTGTATTGGCCGGTCGTTTTCAATGCGAATTTCCAATAATAAAACGGTAGTTTGGACTAAATTAACGAGATATGAAAAGTTGAATAGTCTGACTTTCGCCAGATCTGCTGTGGAGTTCGAATGAGTTAGCCCCACTTAAACCAAGTGCTTCGTTTTTTCGTAGTCATTTTGGCCTTCACTACCACTTTACCTCCACATTTCAATAGGATGACCTCTCTTTTTACAAGTTTTGATTAAAATCTGAAGATGATTGAAATTCACAAGTATCAAGTAAGTGCTCTTAGGGGTCAATATTGCTCTTCAAGTAAATACTGAGTACGTGGCCACAGGGTAATGAAATGTTCGAAAGATCAGTTCCGTCGTGTCTGTCCTTGCTCTCTTTTCCTGGTAGTTTCCAACCCCACTTGACCACGTTCAATCCAATCATATGATCCGTTTTTCTATAATTTCTGATTTCAGCTGTCATAACGAATTTGATAAAACCTCCTGTGGGTACACATAGCCTCCACTTTCGGCCATTAAATGTGTTATAAGATTTGTTGAAGAAGTAAAAAGTTTCCTCTGACGAGGGACCGGCGAAAAACGGCGAAAAACCGAACACTGCCACGTAACAGGATCTGTTTTAGTGTAAATAGGATGGATATATATGGATGGACAGCCTTCAAGTAGCTGTTCTCCTCCCCAGAGATTCCTTTTACCATCTTGGTCGTGGGAGTCGTTTACGTCCCAATATTAGCTGAGAGAATATTTCGGAATCTGGGAACCAGTGACGAATTTTCAAGGAAATAGATCCCCCATTAACTTCATCCCAACTGAATTTTTATCTTATTCTATTTTATCTGTTTTCTGAAGTTTTTATGAAAGACCTGAGGCAACATTAGGAACTCTGAAAAAATGGCCCTTTGGAATTTTTCTGAGCTCCTCAGAGGTGTTTTGCGTTTGATCTTGCCAAACTTCGAATTTTTTGAATTCTGGAACTGCACATTTTTAATTGAGAATATCAATTTAGAAGTGACTAGATGCTGAACCGACTTATTTTCAGGTCAATCTGCTTTTTCGTATTACCAGTAGTGTGGTCGAGTATGTTCCATTTGCTACCGTTGTCAGCACCAGCTTGTGCACCAGCTGGTTTCGATCCATGGAGTGAGTTTACCGACTTGTGAACGACGTCTCCATGTTGTCACGTGTATCAAACAACTCGTAATCATTCCCAGTTTTTTCTTTTGTGTTTGTGTGTGTTTGTCAGCCGGCCACTTTCCCAGTGCATTCATACGTGTGTTTCAATGCTGTGACATTGGTTTGCTTATTTTTGGTAATCATTTATCATAATCATTGATTATAATCCATGATACCATCGAGTAATTGCAATTTCCATATATCGGGTTTGCACGCGAATTCGCGCTACTATTACAATCGTGGTTGTACATAAATATATGTATTTGACGTGTTTTAATAAAACTATTTCAACGGTATTTTTCTTCACGAGGGGTTTTTCATGGATAAAGGGGAACATGCTTATCAGCTTCGGGTTTATAGATGAAGAGGACCATGCTGCTGATTCATAAATCATTCCATTTCTGGTTTGGGTGTTGGGTGTGATTAAGAGGGTGGACGCGGAGCGTGCGCAAACCAGGATTTCTAGCCATTCATCATTTGTTCACTTTTTTGGGAAGGCCATTTCCTTAATGGGCTATTTATGATGTTTTCAAGGATGCCCCAAAGGGCTCAGGGCTTAGTACTGGTAGGGAACAGACCACGGGACTTTTCCCGGGAACTAGAAAAACCTTGAAGACTCGAAAAGAATTCGACTTTCAATGTCCCATAGAGCTTCATTCATAGCCCAGAAACTACTTGGCACTACTGGTATGCATAGACTTTGTCGGAGAAAGTTGTACACAAAGTGGGCAGAAATTGCAGCGTCTACATCAGAGTGCGACATACCTTCTACCACTATTCAAAATCGTGTACTTGGTTAGAAACCTGCATTGTTTGCTTTCATAATCATTTACGAGAGTGATTGTTTGTTTTGTTCAAGTAGTGCACAACGAAACGCTGGCAAGAAACATCCTCAAAATCTTGCACAGCCTGTAAGGGACGTGATTTTGATCGCAAAGTAAGGACGTGAACATTTCTATTTCACATGACGGGTATCCATAAAATTACGTTTTGTTTGGTCACGAAACTGAACGGTTCAAGGCTCAAGGCCACTTTACAACTTTAGGACCGGAAAACCAGAGTAAAGTAAGTTTACATGCACAAACAACTCGTGCACTGAGAAGTGACGGAAATTCTGTTTGTATATGAGGCTCACAAGATTGATTTCGGTGCTTTTGGGTTAATATTTCACCAGAAGGAGAAGTGAACCAGGTTTGGGAGCAGGGACTGATCGGACGACCTCTTCCCTGGAAATCTCATTCCAGTTTATACAGCGTAGTAGGGGAATGTCAGGTTTTTCCCCTTCATGAAGGGATTCAACATAAAGTCCTTCCTTTTCACAACATCTCATCATTCATCTCTGCTGCAACCCATTTTTTACCAACTGGATGATTGCATTCTACTCAAAATATTCATGAACTGTTGTAACGGTTTTGATTAGTTGTGTATCGTTGGTGGATAGGCTCCACGAGCGGATACAGGACTTCTTCACATTCATAGCACAATAATTGTTGAAACTGTCTAATTGAAAACATGCATATCGATTGCATTAGCAAGGTACAAAACGAGAACAAGAACACATAGTTTATCGTAGGCGTACAGACGTAATAGCGAAGCAACTACAGAACAAAGAAATCCGTATCGGATCGTTTACGTCCGCTGAATTTTTTCCAGAGTAAGTCAAACTTCATTAACGGCTGTTTGAGCAAATGCCGATTCACTCCTTTCTCTATTTGCTCGTCCTTCCGTGTTCGCGGTGACAACCCGTAAAACCCTGAAAATGTAAAATTCATTATTTCACAGTACTAGAATTACTTGGATAGAGGTGGCGTAGTGGAAGGTGGCGCCCTTTGGGTGCATTCAAACTCCACCAGCGTGCATTGTTTCCGCCGAGCGGCCTAACGACCGGCGGAGTTCCTGGTGACGTGTTGACAACGCTGGATACCGTTGGATCACGATGGCCAGGAATCTCGTCGGTGGGTAGGTGGATCGGTGGAAACAATGCGCATCAGTGGAGACTGAATGCACCCTATCACAGAAGCATATCTCGAAGATCAAATCCACCAATGCCAACGGAGCGTTCCTTCCCTCGAAGCCCGGATGGTTGGGATGGACTTGTCTGGGAGGATAAAAGCACTGTGCTACATCCGCTGGCCACCGCAAGTCATTTTATAGGCCAGACGCTTTTAAAATTTACGAAGATTCTGAGACGAGGTCTACTGTGGGGCTCATCCCAATTGACTCCGCAGACTTGATCCTTTATTTTTGAATTGTACAGTAAGACATAAGATTCGTCCAGGGACTGAATGAGTCCAATTAGCTGATTGCAGTAGAAAATGCGATTTAATAAAATGAAAAATCGTTCTCTTTGATTAGTTTTCTCCGATACGTTCGCTCAATTCAGTTTTGTGGAGAACGAAGACGATACTTTCGACTTTTCAACCTTTACAATGACTCATTAGGGCTTCTTGATGTAAAAACTGGTTGTGCGTGAGCAAACTTTATGATGGTCAACGGCTGAGCCAATTCCACCTTCTACCTTCAGACTGCTCTCAGGTCAACAGGGACAGTTCGCAAACAGTAAATCACCGGTTTTTGCGTTACGGAATGATTTTATTTTTTCCTTGGACCTTTTTTAGTGATTACGAGGCCAACCGTATAACAGACTTTGATTTCTGCGACTGCCGTCTGCGTGGTTCTTCATACCATCTTCTCAGAATCACGTACAGAAGAATTTGTATAAAAAATTGTTTTGAATAACCACAACTGGCAAAACTGGTTACCGCAATAGTTCTACACAATAAGATTTTACATCTGTTCTGCTGGGGAGAGGGGTAGCACCGTGAAGAATTGGTAATGAACTTAACATTTACTACCCCATCTGGATTTGTACCTTTTGGTCATACTAGGTCAGCTACGTGGTTCAGGCTAATAGTGAAGAGTAAAAAGACAAGGTAGCGCCCTTGATTGTACCAGGTGACACGCCGTTAGCGCCGTTCAACTTTTGAGAAGTGAGAAGTGAATAAATTTTCCTGGTAAATTTTATATCGACTCGTCCTTGAATCGCTTGCTGAAATCTAAATGGTAACAGTGTTTCACATCGGGGGCCAATTTTAAACTGAGGTGAGAGTTGTTTGTAACCATAAGAACCCGTCTCGTATAACTCGGACAAGTTTTCATTTAAAGTTGAAGAGAGCTGGCTACAGTAACGGGGATCCAATGGTCATTCCAAGGCTCCAAGGCTTTTTACTACTGCATTATTTTTATTTATATTCATTTTATTTTTATTTTTTAGTGCTGAGATTTGACTTTATTACTGTTTTTTGTTTAGTTTCACGAAAAGCAAAAGGTCTGCCCATTCCTTGTTCTGGAGCAATGTCGTAGAGCCCGAAAATCCTCCCTGATGAACCATTTTCATGGTCAAGCATAAAGTGTTGCTATGTAGTGGTTAATTCTTGCCAATTCGATTTTTGCAAAGGTTCTCTTGGCTCGGTTCAACGTTCTGGAAAATTCGAAACGTCAAGCGCTAAGGAGCAACGGATCACACGAGGCAATCACCTCGATTATGCATTTCTTCAGTGGGGAATCAGGGTCAAACTGAAAAGATGTCGTTCACGACTGGATGACCATTCCGTCATCCATCGTCATGTGATGTTTCGAAATTGGTCAATGTCCTTGAATCGGTCGGTACCAGTACCTCCGAACAGTCGCGATATCAAAGAGGTCAGTGCGGTCATCCAGGGAATGAAGTTCTGTACGCATCATGTATCAGTATTAATCGACCTTGAAGATGTAACAGTTCCAATCGGGGAATCGAAAAAACCCCTTCAATTTGATGACGAATATTCATTCCTTTCATTCCTTCTTTTACTGAGGTAATAGAGCTCATTAGCGAACGATAATGATGAAATCACTTCTTTTTTAAACTGGTACCAGCTCAGCCCAGTAAAAACCACAGAATTCATTACATTAACCAAAGCTCCATTTTCAATTTTTGTGCCTTGGCTTTCTCAGTCCTATTCGAATGGTCACAATTAATGGTCGTTAAACTATTTTTTGCCCTTCAGACAACCGTACCCCGAGGGAAAGTATGAATAAACTCAAGAGAACAAATAGAAGCAAAAAATAAAAAAAATGTCAATTATATTTATCATCGGTATTTACAATTTCTTTAGGTCTGTGATAACCACTCTTTTTTCTCATGAGTATTGTTGCCGTTATAGTAACGCAGATGAGTTTCTAGGGATACCGTTAAAGCTTTGAATACCGTAAAAGTAGGGTACGGTAATGCGGGGGCTATATCACGTGGTCAAGCATATCATGTGGTCACTTACATATTCAGAGCAATGAAACGGGTCTCTTACAAATGATTGAATATGCGATCAGCCAATACGTTATTATGCGTGAACGTCATCCATCAATGGTGACATTATTCAAAGTTTTTAAACTGCATTTACTATGAACCTATAGCAATGAAAAACCAACAGAGGGAATGTCCGCCATGGACTTCACTGGGAACTACTTTTCATAGCTAGCGAAGAAAGAAGGTCAGACTACTTTGACGCAGATCATTCCCATCTAGGGTATGCGCCCCACACTCGACTTCTATCCAGAATTGTAGTGGTCGTACATTTAATGAGTTGTGGTGGCTAGCCAATGTAAAAGTCCGTTTTTTTTACCCTCCAGACAGGTCTGGTAACAGTCAGTCGACCCCGGAGGCATGGAAGGCTTGATTGGCCTAGGCGGATATCGATCTTGGACTCGATCTTCGGGTCGTGGTTGTGCGCTACTTGGTACTGCACCAGCTCAGCGTTTCTAGGTGTATTATAGAATGCAATCAACTGCTTATAAGTTTTCTTTGGTAATGCTGCCAGATGAACGCTATTGTAAGACCTAGGAACATAAGCCAGATTGACATCACACATCACACATCAACTTACAAATACAGTATCATGTATGGAAAGTTTTTAGGGACAGTTTTCTCTTTGATATCATCAAACTTCGTTCT